GGGGGGGGACATGTACATCTGTATAGCCACTGCAGTATCAAGTCGCGTCTCTATCAATTATAAACCATGATATGAGTGCAGCTTTTATTTTGGAAATTACTCATCCGGGTCCCCGAGCCCAAGCAAGCTCGCGCTAACTCGGACGTCGCGAAGTGTCAAGCTATCTCATGAGAAACCTGAACTGAGACCGGAAGTGTATAGAGTGTGACTTCGCTATAAAAGAAAACTTCTATTCCATTTTTAGAAAATGCTTTGAGTGTTTGACACCAGTGACAGAACTTGACAATTAATTATCTCATTTATGATTCACTAGTTAAATTGAAACATTTAATGGAAAATCTGAACAGATGTCATTACATCAGATTTTTTTCTTGTCTTTCTTTAAAAGGCTCCCACATGATAAGACTTAGGGAAAGACTGCTCAATTTAATTGTTACCGATTGCAAAAGTTAAATTGGGCGTTTTCCTTTATAAATACAAAGATGCCACAAACATGAGGCCTCGGGCTTAATGTGGAGCACAGATTTACACAGAAATATGCCACAACTTCTGTCATCCATTTGTGGTTTTATCCTAAACAAAAATAACTGCACAAAATTGCATGTCTTGTTTTAATCATAAATATTTTTACATTTGTTATCCGATTCTAAATACCTAGGGTCAGATATCTCCAAGTTTTTTGCAATTGTTACACTTACATGTTTCAGATTAATAAACTAATGTTAATGTCGCACAAAGATAACCTGAGTAAAAATAAAATGCAGTTTTAACATAAATATTTCATTTTTTTTCCATTCAAAAAGTAATTGCCCCTTAACTTAATAACTGGTTGTGCCACCCTTGGCAGCAAGAACTGCAATCCAAAGTTCGTCATAACTGGCAATGAGGCTTTCACGCCTCTGTGGAGGAATTTTGATCAACTGTTTTGTGCTTGTGTTATAATTCAGCCACACTGAAGGGTTTTTGAGGATTAATGGCCTTTTTAAGGTCATGCCAAAGAATCCCAATCTCAAGTTTAAGTCTGGGCTTTGAGTAGGGCACACCAAAACCCTCATTTTTTTTAATCCATTCAGAAGCAGACTTGCTCAATTGTTTTGGATCATTATCCTGCTGCATAACCCAAGAACTGAACAAACTGATGGTTGGACAATCTCCTTCAGGATTTTTTGGTAAAGAGCAGAATTCCATCACTTACAGTTTGCAGTGTATATTTACTCCTGTTATATTTGTCTAACAAAATGTGTGTGTTGATGTGAAACATTTAAGTTAAGTGTGACAAGGAAGGAGGCAAATACCTTTTCTCATCAACTGGTTGTAACAGGTTTATAAAGAAATAGAAAATAAAAGGGGACTTCAAAAAAGTTCAATTACAGTGAAAATTGTAAAATCAAAATACAGTTCTTATATTCTTTCAAAGGCCTAAAAATGTTGGTACTTTAATGGCAAAACAATAATTTAACTTAAATCACTATGAAAATATTAAAATAGTTGAACTGCAGGCGAAGTGAATACAAAGGTTGTCAAGTGTATAGTTATATGTAGTTTACTCTTCCAGCACAAAATGATATTTTATAAAAAATAACATAAAAAATAATACATGTAAACAATCTATAAAACTAGATGCTTCTGAGTGAACGCTATGTTTTTCTTTAATCTGAAGACTCGGACCGGAAGTCTCCTCTTAACTCCGCGGGACTTGACACTGGTGGCAGGAATGGCGGCTATGATCACTGGAGGAAGGAACCAAGAGACCCTGAAACTTTACTTCTGACGGCCCCGCAGAGGAATGTGTTTCTAGTGAAGGGCAGAAACACCCTCCTGTAACGGATTACAGCGAGAAGAAGTGCTGTAACGTGAGATCACGGCGGTAGATGTCCGGGTCGGGGAGGTAGACGCACTTTGCTAGTTAGCCTAACGTTAGTGCCACTGACTTTGATTCAAGGTAGCTGTTAGCCCGCTGCACTACTAGCCAGCTGTTGGCTACTTGGCTTGGCTGGCCCAACAAGTTATTAACTGTGTGAAAGCAACCTTTATTTGAATATTCGAGTTGGGATCGGCTCCTGCTTGGTACACAGTATTAGGGACGTTTACAGAGATTGGGATAAGGCGCGTTGGGAACATCATTACAACAGCTAACCTCAACGTTAGCTCGGCTTAGCTAAGTTGGGATCCTGAAGTCTCGCCCATTTTTTGGATCCTGCCCCAGCCATTGGCTAAGGGCTAATCAACAGCCAACTTGTGTTCTTTTCAGGCTCATTTGGTACTACGATGGAAAGTCTAACGCTGAGTGATGTCGAGCAGAAATATTACTCGGATTTGTTCGTTTACTGTGACACGGACAACACTAAAAAAGTGGCTTCCAACGGGAGAGTTCTTGACCTTTTCCGGGCGGCCCAGCTACCCAGCGAAGTTGTCCTGCAGGTAAGCTAGCGTAACCGTGTTATCATTCAGACTGTGAAGGTGTGCGTGAAACGAAGGGCCATTGGGGGATTTTTGGTAAACTTGGCTGGCAGGCTGACTGTTGGAGCTGTCCTGTCAGCCAGTGTCGTTGTGGTTATTTAGCCCGGGTGCTTAGCAGAGCTGCGCAGCAAGAGAGACACACCTTCTTCTGGCTAATGTTAGCCTTAGCTAAACAGAGTAGGTAGACAACTCACACAATTTATTTCTTTATTGCGTTTTTTTTCTCTAACTGACATATTATATATGCAATAAAAGCTGGCATGCCCTCTTCAGTTACCTTTCTGTGGGTATGTGTTGAACTGTGTATCTAAAGCACTAAATACTTCTCATTGCTCTTGCTGCCCACTCTTTCCTGTCTTCTCCCTCCATCAACATCTGCCTTTTTTGTTCATTACTGGCTAACATGGTGGAAATGCCTGTGCCTGCACACCTGTGATCCACAGAAGTGGAGACTTTGTTTATTAACCCTCAAATACGGATTGCCTTCTTGGTCAGATTGCAGAGTGTCCCTGCTCTGACAACTGTGAGTCATGAGTAGCCAGTTAAACTGCAGCAGCCCATTCTTGTGACTCCAGATCTCTCAGCATGGCCAATATTTGCAGTTTGTGAGTCAGCATCCTTTTCAAGGTCAAGAGGGAGGGGGGGGGGGGCTGTGTGGTGGGAGAATTAAGGAGCGTTGTAATCCTACCACTTCCAGAATCTACACTGAGCTCTGTGTTGGCCCGTGAGACACATACTGCTACAGTGTCATGTTGTAACAGGCTGAGAAAAGTCACTGCTGCTTTGTATCCAGTCATACTTGGATAAAGTCCCTCATCAGCAAGAAAAGGATCGCTGGTCAGCTGTGGCAGTTTTTTTTTTTGTTTTTTTTTTTGAGTGACTCGCAGCACTTAAGGGCACCCTCTTAAACAGTTATCCTCATGTTATAAAATCTCACCAGTAGTACTAATCCTGAGGTTTCAGTTGTTTCTTTTAACCACTTTATCTTTTGTGTGTAGAAGGCCGTTTCATTGTTTTGTAAAGGACTACAAAACATGATAACCAGACTTTTTACGCATAGAACACACTGGACATCTGCTTGTGAACATGGCAGATGAGACCATTCTTAAGGGAACAGTTCATCGGATAATTTAAACAGACACTAAACGATAGCTGTTGTTTATTCTCCTTTTTATTACTTGGATGCTATGTTTGCTTAGAGGAAAAAGCTGCTCTTTCAGATGAATACAATGTTGTTAACTGTTCTCCCTTGTCCTTGTGTGCGTGGGTTTAGATCACAGAGCTATGTGGAGCCACTCGGCTGGGTCACTTCGGTCGGAGCCAGTTCTACATCGCTCTGAAGCTCATCGCCATCGCCCAGTCAGGGCTGCCTCTGAGGGTGGAGAGCCTCAACTCGGGTGAGTCCATAAATCGAAGTGAGTCATTGTCATTGTTGTGCATTGATTTGTAAACAATACCATTACACAATTGTGGTCTAGGTCCTCTCTGAAGTACTTTTAGACTTTGGTTATATAGAGATATACTGTTGTTCTCAGGCTAGTTAAAATGTTTCAGGTTAGAAATGAGTTTCATGAATTTCAGAGACAGCTGTTCTCTTCATCACCAATCAATTACATTTAATGGCAGAGCTATCATTTGTCAATTAGAGTCTTAAAGGTTTTTTTGATAAGAAAAAGGTATTTATCTCAGAACTGCATGCATGTGGTGCAGTGTATTTTAAGATTTTCATACAAGCATGTTCTCATGTTTTTTTTAAAGCTGTTTCTTTGTATGTTAGCAGGATTATTTAATACTTTTTTTTTTCTTTTTTTACCACATTTGAGTCTTGGGCCATTGTATAAGCGAGTAACTTTTGGGATCGATCCAGATATGGTTAATAGAGCTTTTGGAAGGACTCTTTACATTCATAGACACAAATCAGATTCTTCTTCTTATGCCTGATCCCTGCAGGGCTCCCACCCTATTCCTAATGTCCTTTTTTGTCACACCAAAATTCTGCATGTCCTCTTTCACTACGTCCATGAAAAAACTCCTCTTTGTCTTTTCCTCTTGCTTAGCAGCTCCATAGTTAACATCCTTTGTCGGCTGTATCCACTATCCCTACTCTGCACATGTCCAAACCATCTCAGCCTTACCGCTCTAACTTCGTCCAGACTGCTCAACCTGAGCCGTCCCTCTGATGTACTCATTTCTAATCCTGTCACTCATGAGGAAAAAAGTCTGCCACCTTCATCTCCGTCATAACCGGTCTCACTACCATCCTGTAAACTTTCCAGTTTAACTCTTGGGCCTATCCTTCTGTCACAAATCGCCTCTGACACTCGTCTCTACCCGCTCTGCCCTGACTGCACTCTGTTCTTCACCTCTCTTGTGCGCTGTCTGTCGCTTTAGAGGTTTGACCCCAGGCATTTAAACTCATTCACCCTGTGACTGCCTTTGCTCCTTGCGTCTTCACTATTACGACTGCCTCCCTCTGAAATTAAATGAAAATGGATCAAATTAGAGAATGTATTTATGTAAAGAAAACAAACAATTGCTGTCTGATCCAGAAGAATCCAAAAGGAACTTTTTAGCTTTTGGAGAATCTATTTCATACGCTGGATGTTTGATACATAGGGTGTCTCATAACCCTGTGTTTCTAAAACTGGGAAAATAAACACTGGTACATTAAAAGTAAGCTGTAAAAAGAGAACATTTTAAATGGAAAAATGGCTCATCTTGATTAGTTGATGGGGCAGATGGCATCACATTGCTGATTGGAATAGTATTGGCCATTTATTTGTGTCACCAGATGATTGTAATAGTATGAGCTGTTTCGATGACTTCCCTATTTATCTTAAGTAAACAATGAAGCCGTGGTGGGTTTGACCGCAAAATTGCACTTTTCTATTTGTCCCTGTTGAGTTCTCTCGAGGAAAAAGAGAAGGAAAAACGCGGCGCACGATGTCACACTCATCCTCTATGCAACGTGATCAGTTTGGCCTGAATATATTGCAAAATCGATTTCATAATTTGACAACAATATGAGGAAGCAAACAAGTCACTTCCTTCTAACAAAAGATTTAGGGATGTTTGAGCTCGGTAAACCTCGCCCTCAACTCTCTCTTTGTAAAGTTGGTGCTTTCTCAGAAGTAGACAGTTAATTACAGGATTTGGAAAAAATGTTTAGTTTACTCAGTGCTTTCAGAAAGCTTGAAGTCACCACAGTTGTTCCAAAATATTAAATAGAAAGTTATTTCTGGAGCGGAGGCTTTTGGGGTAATAATACAGGCGTTCAGAAGCAAAGGGGGTGGTTTGGTTTCTGCGTGCTTACTAAAAGACAGAGCGCTGCACATAATAATCCTGTGGTGAAACAATTCTTTTAACCAGACTTAACTTAGAGATATAAGAGGATATTGTTAGTAGGTTTAAAGGAAATTTCAACCTTTTGTTAAAACTGATTATTATTTTTCTTAAAAGTAGATTCTCATATTCACAATGCTTGAAGCAGCAAACGACTGGTGCTTTTGGTGGAGGACGGGGGGGAAAAAAAAAAAAGTATGGCCAAAAAAAAAATCCAGATCACTTTCTTCCCACTAGCTAATCAATTTGTTGCTGAGTCACTGAAACCATAGTGGGGTCATATACAACAGGATTAACTTATTTGGGTGTCTTGATCTTGGGTCTGTTTGCTTACCCACTCTCTGAGAAAGCCATAAACACCAGTAGAAAGGGTTAGGGTTAACAATATTAGTACCAGTATCAGTTCAGTATCTGCCAATGAGGCCGCCTAAAAACTACAAACCCTGCTTCATTCAACCATCGTTTTGTGGCACACGTTGAATTTTTGAATCAGTTTTTTTTTTTTTTTTTTAAATAACTGTGGAGTTTAGAAAGTCCTGCCTCGCTCGTCTTTACCTCCTTGAGATTGGATTGGTTTGCCTGATTGTGTAGTAGCAGGATTTCTAAAAATGTTCCAGACAGATTTGCATTAGTTTTTTAGCAGAGGTTGACCCAACATAGAAGGGATTAACGTTTGATTTGGTCTGGATCCAGGATTTTTTCAAAGGTGTCTTCAGCATTGTAAGATAGAGCAAACAGAAAAAAATACATTCCCCAAGGGGGAAAAAAAAGAAAAACAAAAACGGGCAAGCTACAGTGTGGTAGAAATTTTCAGTCTTAGAGCAGGCATGCTGGCACGGACTGTATTCCTGTGTTTGTTTATCACAGATCTTTGTTTTAAGTCCTCAGCATTAAGAGTTAAGAGACAGCAAACATACACTCGGTGTGGCAGTGTGTTTCATTTTCTATTTCAGGAAACGGCTCTTTCTGAAAGGTATACTGTTGTTCCCATTTTACAGCAGTTACTCTCTTTCCAAACCCTATAAACGTCAGCTGATTGCAGCAGGCACAAGGATTCTGGGAAATCTACGGAGTCAGTAATCGGTTTTTCTCTCTCAAAAGCCAGAAGCAACTTCTGGACTCTAGTGCACTGAAGTTTTCAGCTGCTGCTGAACAAATATTGAAACTAAATTTAATTTGTGTCTTGACAGTCAAGGATCTACCGTTGCCAAGGTTTGTGGTGGGGAAGAATGAGGCAGAAGCGAGACATGCTGCACTGTACCAAGATCCCGACAGTCAGGGATTGTACCCTGCCCCCGGTACTGCAGTAATACCCAGGCCACCTGGCAGGGGTCACCAGAACAAGAAAGGACATCCCTCATCCACTTCACTTCCTGTCCACGAGGTCATTCAGCCCCTGGCAACTACTATAGAATCACAGGTTGGTAGTAGCAAATGCAAGAATCGATGTTGCAGGGACGATTGTATACAAACTTAATATTTCTTTGAACAACTGAACCCAGTGGTTACTTGGAGATAAGCTGCTGTGTTTCCTGTGTTTTTCCTGTGTATACTTGACAGAGAAATTAAAAGGGACACTCAAAGCATCTTGAATTGAAATCTATAGCAGAGCAACAAAGTGGTGGTGGAAATGATAAATTCTTTTCAAAGCCTCCATTTGGGGGAAAAGTCATGAAATTTTTAAGTGATCTTTACCAGATTCGAGTGGTGAATTTCTTCGTCGCTTTTATGTGTCCATGACTCATTGAAATTAAAGTCAATGTTGCTTCAAAGTAACTGCAAATAAGTGTCCAGAGTGGGAAGACTTGCCTCTGGAAGGACTTTGATGTTTGAATACATTCCTTTCTGAAGTTTTCTGCTGCGGACTTAAGTGTGTTGACACGTGTGTCAGTTATTTAGATTTCTTTCGCAAGTTTTAACTTGTATGTGCTGCATAATCATTCACTAGTTCCTTCAGCATCCCTTATCTGTGATGATGCAGATAAGAACTGATTGATGTAGCAGTTATTGGTCTTGGTTTGGATGTGGCGTGTTGAAGATTGACGTCTTGTTGTGTATTAGATGTGATCTAAAGGTTAACGCCCAAAACGCTGAACTGTTTTAAAGCAGTAATACTACCACCTTCAAATCATGCTTATTAAAGTTTGCTGATTCCTTATATGTGTACTAAATGTCTTTTTAACTGCTTGTTTATTTCATCGGTTTGTTTTTTTTCTTTTTTTTTTAAATATGTCACCAGCCTGAACCAACGTCCCCAGTGGTCTCCCCTCACCAGTCTCCCCCAACCTCACCTCATTCCTGGAGGAAGCACAAGCGGCAACACAGTGGAGGAAACGCAGAGCGACAACCTGTGGTGGCAGCAACTGGAGCCGTGTGGACGCAGTTCAGAGAACCACAAACAGGTGACCCACTTCTTAATGATAGTTTCTCAAAAGGAGAACTATTCTGCCTATTTCCAACAACATATTTCTAATCTTGGACTCTGCTTGAGTAGCTTTGCATTTGCATTTATTTCCATTCACAGTTCAAAGCAATCCTTATTATTTATACGGATGCAAATCATCCCTTGACCCATCTTCTGATTGGGTGCCCATCGTAAACAGAAGGTCTGAATGCCAGGCACCTGGGGCTTCTGGACTCATCTTGGAAAATGTTCAAATCTTTTCAGATGTTTTATAGACTAAATAATTATTTAAGATGATGATGAGCAAGTTTGTTGATAATGAAAATAAGGACAAAGAGAAAGAAAAGTGGCAACAATTTGAGTTAAAATGGCTTTTTTCTTTCTTTTTTGCCCTCCAATAAAGAAAAAAAAGGTAATGCATGTGACAGGGGTTTCACTTGCAAGCACTCACGAGCAGCAGATGATAACAATAACATCTCTAAGGGCAAACAGAAGTGACAGTGTGGTAAAAGTTGCTTTTAGCTTTGACTCCAGTGATAAATTGTCGTTTGTACCACTTCCTGTTGTTTGCAGCGCCTACATGCTGTTAATGATATTTGCTGACACAGACACTTGCTGCAGTTTGTCATTAGGGGACCAAAGTAATTGTGCCTGCTTTTTTTTTTGCTTTTTTTTTCAGCATAAAAAGTAGTTGAGATATTACAAAGAACGGTATGAAAACAAAACTTCTTAATTAACATTACTTGCAAAAACATAATTTCCTGTCCTTCTCCTTTCAGGTCCAGTGGCTGGCGATGGCATGTGGCCGTCCCACTCACCGCCTCTTCCAGGTCAGGAGAGTTGGGTCAGTTTTACAGCGGACACACCGCCTTCCAGCACGCTTCCAGCAATGCATCCATCATCAGTCCAGGTACAGCGCTGTTGGTTCGACTCGCTTCCTATTGCAACAGGCTTCATTATACAAGCAACCTAGAAAGATGCACATCAGCGTTCCATCTTAAATTACAAGGCGCTAGTTGGATGTTGGATACACTACACTGATTCAGTACTTCAGCAGCAATAATGTGAAGTAATGGGTTGCCGTATGATTTTTGTCAATCTCTCACATCATTGTGGCTGAAACTTGGCCCAATGTTGTTAATATTGCTTCAGTTTGAAGTTCATTTATGGGCGGTTCTCCTAAGGCCCCGCCACAACATTTCAGTCAGGTTGAGATCTCGACTTTGCCTGGGCCAGTGCATCGCCATGATTCTTCTCTTTTTCAGCCATTCTAATGTAGATTTGCTGCTCTGCTTGGGATCATTGCCCTGTTGCGTGACCAAGTTTAGGCTGAGCTTTATCTGTCATTGTTCCAGAAGTCTTGCGGTTTGTTCAGATTTCACAAAACAGCATATAGTCCTGTGAAAATCTTCTTTTTCACAATACAGTGAACGCCCACTATTATAAATAAGGGCTCTGATTACGGAAATGAGTTTTTTCATTTTCACCAGTGAAATCCTTGAACTAAACCAAACAGCTATAAGGTGAATCGTGGCCATATATATAAAAAAACAAACAAACATTTGATTTGGGTAAAAAACAACCCCTAAAAACATAACTACTCAACACTCTTGTGTTGTGTGCGTATTTGGTAGTGTGTATCCCACAGTTAGTAACAACAATCACCACTTTTGGAGTTTTTGACATTTTGCACTTACTAAGTGAGCTGAGATAAAACTAAGGTCAATCATTGCCAATATAAAAACACTGAAATGCTCAGAAATATTTTGGATCTATTCTATCTTTACCACCATTAGCCAATCACTATGCAGAGATGGGACGAGAAGACAGCAAAGTGAGGCTATAAATTAAAGGACACATGTACACCCTCACAATACAGACCTAGAGAAGGCGATACAGTTCAATAGAGCATTAATATAGATCAGCAAGTTACAAGATGACCACACAGAGTATTTTAGCTGGAAAATGTGATGCAAATGTCTGCCATCAGAAACTGCAAACATAAAGCACGAGATATCACAGTAACCACAATCGGGCCTTGAATGTCAGCCAGCATCTTGTATCAGTACTTTATCTGCAAACGCTGCTGCTTGACTGAAACATGAGCAGCTTCTGTGACATTTCTCAGGCAAAGGCCTCTGTACCCACTGTCTAATTATAGGTACACATCATGCCCTCTTTTAGTTTCTTCTTGTCGTTCTGAGCTAACAAGCAAAAAGTCAGTTCTACTTTAGGCTAAAAGTTCTGTAACCATTGTTTTGTTTCAGTTTTGAATATTATTCTTTAAAGGTTTGATTTCTTGTAGTGCCAAGTTTGTATGTATGAGTAGGGGGCCAGGGAGACACGCACTGTACATACTAACCGTGAAGAAGCTGGATTTGCATAGGTTAAAGTGTTATTCTTAATACTTAATTATGCTCGTCTTTCTTAAATGTTTCTGTAAATGGGTTCTCGTAGGAAAGCACAACAATACGAACAGTGGCCTCAGCTGCAACGACCAATGAGATCCAGCGACAGTCCAGCACGTACGATGATCCGTGGAAGATCACAGACGAGCAGAGGCAGTATTACATTAACCAGTTTAAAACAATTCAGCCTGACCTCACTGGCTTCATACCTGGTAGGAACAAAAATACACACACACGCGCGCTATCAGGATAAAACACGGGTTATTAATAAACTGTGGTTTCTGCGTGTTTCAGGTTCAGCAGCAAAAGAGTTCTTCACTAAATCAAAGCTACCGATTTTAGAATTGTCACATATTTGGTGAGTCACTGCTCTTCTGCTATTTATGGCCTCTGTGTGTGTTTGTGTATCTAAGGGAAATTAAGGGCACCATAAACACGCGTTCACCACCTGAATGGAGTTGATGGCCACATTTAACAGTTTGACATGCGGATATGCTGTAGGTTAGAGCAGGATGGGCATTGATCTTTGCACCAGTGCTCCTTTGTTCTATTGAAAGATCCCTAATTTCATATTTATAAAACTTAATAGGAAGCTGTAGTAAAAGCTTTATTTACTTTTTAGACAAGTGCAGTGTGTGGCAGTTAATCCTAAAAACACCAAGAAGCTTTTCTTTGCTCTTTATCAGAATGTATCATCACTGATCGGACAGCATGTGCAACCTGGATATGGTTAACTGTTAAACTTCAAGACTAATTTTTACTAAAAAAAAAGCCAAACATCAACAAAGACAAAAGGTTTGACCATATGTAGTTGGTGCAAAGAAAATGTGTTTCACCAGTTCTTTGTTAACTCCAAACCAACCTGGCTTTATTTTGCTGATGAGTAAGACGTTTGTGGCTAATCGAGCTCATCAAAAACAAGTTGTCAGTTCCTGTTTATGGGATTATTTCCAAAGAAGCGTGCAGTGTCAGTTGACACAACTTGTTTTGACAGGATTCATAATGACTAGTATCACTAGCTCTAAGCAGCAAACGCGGCATGTAAATGTGCAAGTCGGATCAGATTCAATGTCTGCTGTAATGCCGTATATGATATAATATTCTTACTGTCTAATGTGTGTTTAAAGGGAGCTGTCAGACTTTGATAAAGATGGAGCGCTGACCCTGGATGAATTCTGCGCTGCCTTTCACTTAGTTGTGGCCAGGAAGAATGGCTACGACCTCCCCGAGAAGCTTCCTGAAAGCCTGATGCCAAAGCTGATTGACCTCGATGACTCAGCAGGTGCTCAGGCTTGCCTCTCTCTTCCTCTCTCTGCTGCACCCTTTATTCATTTTCTTATCTCACACCTCATTAGACCTAGGGTAACAGCGCTATTGTGCAAAACCCGCATGTTGGAAGTAGTTAACTGATTTTTGGGCTGAGCTGCACTTTTCAGGACACAGTTTTGTGTTCTCCTGCCCTCTTTTAACTTGACATTGACTCAGTTGCTGATAGCCATAACAAACATGTTTATCAAGTGTTATAATTCAGTGTTGACCTTGTTTTTTACATATCAGGAAAACAGCAGAGAAATAGTCTTTCTTATGTGCTTATGCAATACTCAGAAGCAGAAACGATTGCACTTTGAAGTTTCACGATTTTTGCCATTGATGGTTAAATGTAGTTGGCATTTTGACTGCATGAAAAAAATGTTTTATCTCAAGCTGTTCTCTGAAGTTCACCTTTTTGAAGAATCCCAACCAAAAGTAATGTCGTGTGGATTTTTTTAGTTTATTTATGTGTATTTAACTCGTGTCTATTTTTTTTTTTTTTCCAGAAGTCCCAGAGCAGACAGCTGATGTTGGATACTCTGCGTCACCAGTAGAGGTGACCCCCAACAAGTCTCCCTCTATGCCTTCGCTCAATCAAGCCTGGCCAGAGATGAACCAGAGCAACGAGGTTCCAACGTGCACGCACCACATGACTATATGTGTCGTTTTTACACATCCTCTAAACTCGAGGCTGTTTGCTTTTGCTCCGTTTGCGTTTGATTCATCTTAATTGCTCAGGGTTAATTAAGTGAGGTTGCTCTCTCTTTATCCATCCATTATAATTCGAGTGCCACATCATCCTATTCATCATCAAACATATTTTCTGATAATTCAGCACCTCCTCTCTCACTTCTTGAGACTGTGTATGAAAGTCGGCAATGTCCGTTTTGTTTCCACGCCTGCTGATGATGCCGCGTCGGTGTGGCATCACGGCAGAGGCTGAGACTGATGATGTAAATGTGTGATGTCACTGCACTGGCTGACTGACTGACATGTTTTTTCTCACTGTCTGTCTCCTGCAGCAGTGGGAGACGTTTAGCGAGCGCTCCTCCAGCTCACAAACTCTGACCCAATTTGACTCTAACATTGCACCAGCTGACCCTGTAAGTCAATCACTTAGCATGCATGGTTTCACCATTAATGGACAGACATTAACCCTCTCCAGATCTCTCCTTTTTCTCTCTATCTCTCTCAGGTCCTCTCTGTCTCACTGCCTGCATGATGTTCTTTCAAAGTGCAATTAAGTGCATCAGCAATAGAAGTGTGTGTTGTGATTTGGCTTGCTCAGTTTCTATTGGACATCACCTTTTTTTTTTCTTTAGAGTCACATCCACCAATCACATTTTAAGATTGTAAGAGATGCATTTTTCCTCACATGATTAAGAACTAAAGGTTGTGCACAATTCTGTTGTGCATTTACTTTTGAACAGTCAAAGTTCTTCACGTTTATGTATTTTTAATTTTTAAACTGTAAACAAATAATTGTCCCAAAAATAGCTCTGACTTCAAATACGGTTTTATATTGCAGGAGTGTGCATCTGTTTTTAGACTGCTTTTATGTACTCCCATTCTGAGCTGAAACTCAAGATTAAAAACAAAAACAAAACACTTTTCAAGCTTAACCTATAAATCTCCCAAAAATTAGATTTATCAAAGTTTTCCATGTTAGTCTTAATTGACCGTTGAATTTTCTGCAGTCAGTTTGTGTATGAATGTAAGGCTAATACAGTTATTTTTAGCCATTTGAATAATTTAGAATTTAAGTAAATGTAACCCCACTGATGTAGGAGTAAAAAAAGCCCCAAATCTCTCTCTGCTGTGGAAAAATCCTGCACCGACAGCAGGCCCAAACAGCTCCACAAATTCTTTTTAAAATTTGTTTTTTGTGGCTAAATTCTCCGCTGCCATCCATGCACCAAATCTTAATGGGTGCATAGGATCTTTGCTGTCCAACTGTGAAGAACACACTCGGAGCGGAAAATAATTTTTGAAACAATAACAGTCTTTTGTTTGTTTTTAGTTGTCGTTAGGATGGGGGGGGGGTATAATTGTATGGGCACGTCTTTTATTTTTATTTATTTTTTTAAAAGCTTATTTAGAAAATATGTTTCCAGGTCTTTCACATCTTCTCATTTAAACATGTTTGATGAGATGCTCAGTGAGCATGTCAGCTAAAAGAGTGCCACACAGGTTTTCATGTTGACCCTTCCTCCTCACAGGACCAGCAGCAAAAAAACAAAAACAAAAAAAACCACCTATCTTCTTCCTGTCGGTTTGACCCTCTCTGTGTCTCTTTTCCACAGGACACGGCCATCGTTCACCCAGTTCCCATCCGGATGACGCCCAGTAAGATTCACATGCAGGAGATGGAGCTGAAGAGGACTGGCAGTGGTGAGAAACTCTCTGATCTTAAACTGACTGTCCAAATCCTGACTTACAGTTGAATAAATAATAATGATATTGATGCACATGTGCAGCAACAGGCAGACCTCTAAATCTGTTTTTGTGGGCAGCAACGTGAAGGAACTTTAATATGACTGAAACAGAATTATGACCTAATTGCATTAGAAAGCATGCTAGTATGTTCTTTATATACTGAAGAAAAAACATATTGTAACAGGTGGGAAAACATCCAGCTGTGCTAATACAGTCAGCTTACTTTGTGCTTTGCAGAGTGCGCACTATTGGGAAAGTAATAAAAATCCAAAAGGTCACCATTTGAAATGATTCAAAGAGCGCCTCACAGGAGCTTTTATTACTCATATACATGTTTTTGTTTTTCTGCAACTGAGCACGTTTTGTCCAAACTAACAGCCGATTGCTAACATTTAATTTTCCCTGTTGATTGACTGCATTTGCTTCAACACTTTCCCCTGTTTGTGATCTCCCCCTTCCTCCAATATTTAGACCACAATCATCCTACCAGTCCTCTGCTGGCTAAACCTCCAGAACTGTCTGAAGAAGCCAAATTACCCGCCTCCATGAAGTTTGTAGCTGCCAACACTGTAGGTGAGTAAAAGATGAGCTGCTATGGCAGGGAGCTTTACTACGGTGTTCCGAAAACATCATCCGACACATGATTCAGTTATTTATTTGTTTAGCCATTTTAATCCACTTTCTATTTTAAGGACAGACTAGAGCAGGGCGATATGATCAAAAATATTTATCACGATATACATTTGAAAATTTGCGATGACGATATAATTGACACCAGACAAAATACTTTGCAACTCCACAACTTAATAAGGCAAAAAAAACCCAGCAATGTATTTTCACTTAAACAAGCAGCTGTTTTTTTATGTGGATTAAAGTTATAGAAAACTTTAACAGTGCAAATGCAAATTCCTTGCTGACAGTTTAACCAAAAGGCATTTCCAGTGGAAACTGGCCGACACATCCTCAGCATAACCATGTATAATATCCACAAAACGTAAAAAGAGGTTATACACACACACACAATACGCGAGCCTCCTGCCTACGATAGTCGTAATGCTTCAACAATCCATCAATCGGTGCGGGTTTGTAGCTTAGCAAAGTCGTACTGAAACATTTGACAGATTGCTGAGCGCCGTGTACGACATAAAATCGTTTCGAGGTCAGTAAACACAACCAGAATTCATACATAAGGCACACGGGATTATAAGGGGCACTGTCGATTTTCAGAAAAATCAAAGGATTGATTTTAAGTGTGCCGTATTTTCCAAAAAACACGGTAATAACGACGGCCCGCTAGCATGTGCTACCAAAAATAGTGCTTTGTTGTGTATCTGACGGACGAAAGCTAAACCAGTTCCACACCACTGAAGTTGTAGCATTTTTTTCAAACCAGTTCTGGTTCATCCGTTTCATTCAACGATCCACTTTCGCCCTTCTCATTCTCCGCCGTTGCCATGCTTTTTACGCCATGTGTGTATGAAAACAAAGGCACTGCGCATGCGCGTTTTACCCATATTCTATCGCGATATTTCATTTTCTTATCGTTGCCCAACATTATACTGGTATTACCGTGAACGGTATGATATGGCCCAGCCATAGATACTTTAAAGTAACATACAAAAATCAAGACTAAAAAAATAAAAAAAAATAAAAATGGAAGTACTTTTCCCTTATATGTTGGAAGGTGTCTGTGGCTCAGGTGGTAGAGACAGTTGTCTACCAATCCCTGCTCCTCCATACCACATGTCAAAGTACTGAACCCCAAGTTGCCCCAAATGCATCCATTGGCATGTAACTGGGTGAATACAATAGAAAATACTTAAATTTGGTAGAAAGACACTATCTTAGTACCATTTCATATTTGTCTTTCCTTGGTGGTGCCTTCATAACCTCAGTTCAGCTGCTGATAGTCCAGACTAAGATTCCAATTTTTTGTGGAAGAATTAAAAAAAAAAAACTACCATTTTGTTAATTTTCTCATGATTTGTATGGTTGTGGGTTTTTTTTTCTTTTCTTTTCATGAAGGTGATGGTTACAGCAGTTCAGACTCTTTCACCTCAGACCAGGAGCCAATCACAAGGCAGAGGTTCGTTCATTTTCTGTCTGTCCTTTCTGACAATTACTGAAAGTGATGCTTTTGGGTTTTTCTACTTCCTCACATTGTTACTCAGTTGGTCATGTTGCAGCTCTGTTCAATGATCAACTCCAGACCTGAACTGTGATGAATCGTGTTATAAATAAAGCACTGTATCCTGTGTGTAAATCTTTAAACATTAATGTGCTCAGGTCTCAGTCGGGTACGTCCCCAGAGGCTTTGAAGGTGGTAGCCCCGCCTCCCCCTCCACCCCGTCCCCACCCCTCCCACTCTCGCTCCTCATCTCTGGACATGAATCGCACCTTTGCTGCCACGTCTGCCACAGGACAACCCCAACCCTCTACGATAGCTTACCCTCCTGCTGTGCCTCCACGACCGCTTCCCACACAAGTAAGAAAAGTATTTTATGTGTCATTGGCATTATTTGTGATTTTGATACTACGAAAGCTGTCACGACACCCTTTCATCCCTCCCCAGACATCAGTACCACTCACCGGGCATCGCGTAGAGGCAGAGAGTATACCAGGAGGCGGGGCGGTGCTCACCACCACATCCCCACAGCAGATTCCCCAGCAGCCCAACTTTGCAGATTTCAGCCAGTTTCAGGCCTTTGCAGCCTCTGAGCAGCCCTCAAGCCTACCAGAGGTGGACAAACACATCGAGCCAGGACAGGTAGGTCGATCCTGGAGGGTCAGGGTTTGGAAATAGAATGATGCTCCTCTAGACAACATCAGTTCTTCTCAGAGATAGCATTTATAGTCTGGCTTTGTGTATAATATGTAGATATTAATGTATTGATTCTTTTGATTTTTGAATGTATTTCTTTTGCTCTTTCCCAAAATCCCCAATTGGTTGTTTATTTTAGTTTTCCTTCCCTTTGTTATATAATGTTCTAAACCCACACATTGATTGACAGATTTCATCCATATTACCGTTTTTTTTTTGTGTTTGTGTTTGTGTTTGTTTTTGTTTTTTTTGTCTTCTAGTATTAAATATTAGACCTCTTATGAAATATTATTGTTGCAAACCATCTGCAATCTGCATCTTTTAATTTCTTAACTGTGGCTGTTGTGTTACATTTGAGTAAACACTTTGTTTGTTTATGTCCGCAGGGGGACAAGCCTTCAGAGGGGGCCGGCCCCTTGAGAACAGTTAAGAGTGACGGCCAAGCTGATGAGAGACCCTCAGCTACAGTCAACTCTGTACGTCTTTGAACTTTAAACTCAATAAGACCAGTGGTTTTTAAACTTTTTGTGTTTGTGTGGAACATCAAGAGGCAATCTGAAATTCATAGGCACACTTGTTTATTAGACTGTGTGAAAGTGAGGTAAACTCTTTGTTGTCCCGTCAGGGAGCCAAAGGCTCCTCCGGCCCCCTGGCCCCTCCCCCCAAACCTGTACGTCGAAGGTTGAAGTCTGAAGACGAGCTGAGGCCGGAGGACGAGCAGCACGGTCCACAGAAATCTAACGTCATAGCCGCCGTCCTGGCCACTCAGCCTTCCATTCCCAGGTGGAGAAACTTGCTTTGGATGAGGACACTTTACAGGGCGTTGTGTTTATCAGCACTTTAGAAAAAGCATATTTCTCTGTTTGCAGGTCAGTTGGAAAGGATAAAAAGGCGATTCAGGCTTCAATCAGAAGGAACAAGGAGACAAACACTGTTTTGGCACGACTTAACAGTGAGCTCCAGCAGCAGCTGAAGGTATGGAAGACATTAGTAGTGTTTTCTAGTTTTAGCAAACAGACTTTGTTCTCCTTTTAACTCCCGCTTTGCTCACACCTGTTTTCTTTTCCCAGGATCTGCTTGAAGAAAGGATATCTCTAGAAGTCCAGCTGGAGCAGCTCAGACCCTTTTCCCATCTTTAACCTACATATGGAGAGCAACTCTACTGTAGTTCATCTGAATCAAGGCTGTGGCCCTCGTTGTGACTCCTCCCTTCCTCCTCTCCTTTTCCTTCCATCAATCTCGGCTTTTCCCGGAGGCTTCAACCTGCCTCAGGGCATTCCGTTAAAAACTGTCACGCTCAATCACACACTGCTCAATCGTAAACTGGACAGACCTGAGGGCACAGTCTTACCAGTGGGAGGAGATCTTAGAAACTGGCACTTTTCACTTTTTGCTAAAGAGAGGCGAAGGTGAGGAGGATGACGGCAAACTGAGAGGCAGAGCGCTCCAGCTCCAAGTTCGCTCTGAAGATAAAACTGCTGGTGTCTTGATTAAATCACTCTCTGAATGACTGAAGGAGAAACGCGGAGTGTATTTGTCATGTTTGTGTGACTGTTTGTGCATTTGTGTTCCTGGCGGCTGGCACCAGTATGCTTGACTCGGCTGCACCAAACTCCTGCAGAAAATTTAAAAAGGGGGCGAAACAGTTTTCTTTTCGTCTTTTGTATAAGTGAACTGAGACGACCTATAAAGATTTTAGACCTTCTAATATCGTCTGATGTCACAAACTCGACAGGTTGGGTCTTGTTTATTACACCGAAATTGACATGGAAGAGTAAAGACGGGCAAATTGTGCTTTAAGTGAGCATTATATGCTAAAACTTAGAAGTTTCTGGTTTATAAAAAAAGGTTACATTTTTCCTCTTTTCACTTTTTGATCAGTGCTACTACTGTAGTGCTCTGAAGGCATTTCTTGTTTTTGAATCCTCATGAATGGTCTGTTCTGCTGAACATGTGGCACCCATGGCTGTCCATTATTGTGAAATAATCCAAAGAACACAGATTTTATGGGCTTGCAATGGGACACATGAAGACCGAAGGAAGTCTACAGCACAAATCATCCGTCGGTACATCGGTCAATAAGCAAGTAAGGATAAATTTGTCTTTTTCTAAATGGAGTTTGGTGTAGTCGCCTCTCTATTTGTGAAACATACTGGGCTATCTCCAGACAGGACCTTTTGTGTGTTTGTGTGGGGCTTAATGACTAAACCAACACGGTGAAGGCTTTTTTTTTTTTTTTTTTGGTGACGCATCCTGTGACATGAACTCAGTCCACCCTTCCTCTCTTACCGCCCCCTTCAAGTCTACATGTAAACATTTGCGTGGTTGATGGCATGATGCAGTGAGTGGAAGTGCCATGTCTTCTGTTTTTTGTTTTTTTTTGTTTTCTATGTGTTACAGTGTTTTGTTTTTTGGGATCGTGGTGACTGAAGGGTTTCACTTTATGCCAAATGACTGAACTTTCACTCTCCTCTTTCACTTCCGCTCGGGCTGTGTTTGAAGAAAAATGCACCACCTTTTCTTTCCCTGAAGTTTTCTTCATTTACTTTCAAACCTAGCTCTGGCTTGACATTTCAGCTTTCTTTCTAACGCTGTGGGTTTTGTTTCCATTTTTTCTTTTTTCTTTTTTCTCTCCCAAACTTTAACTTCACCTTTATGAGTCAAGAACAGACGTTCATATGAAGGGTTTGAAGATATTCCAGCTGTTTGATTGCAGGAAGCGGCGTTTATGAAGAATACATTTGTTGCTGATTGGGGAGAAGTTTGCCTGTGATTTCTCTTCAGCAAACATGTGCACAGATACAAACTGATGCAGCAGGTAGTGATTTTTGATGATTTAAAAAAAAAAAAGAAAGAAAGAGAGAAAACAACAACAAAACAGCTGTTTTCCAATCGGGCAGTCAGCACTATGCAAGAATGGGCGATACATCCTCACAGACCAACTATACCTAAGTGTTTGTCCGATGATAGTAGCAACCATGTGAACAGTATACTCTGGTTTTTGTATCGTAGCTCTTCCAGAACCTCATCTACTGTATGTTTGTGATGTATTTTTGCCTTTTTGTTGTGTTTTTTTTGTTTTTTTGTTTTTTTTGGGGTGGTACTGATGAGCAGTCCACTTCCCCGGGCTCCTGGCTCCAGAGGGAAGTAAACTCCAGATCAGTGTTGTATCAGGGCAGTTTCACCTGAAATCTGTGGGTGTAGATGAAGCTTAACAGGAGACCAGTCAACAGAGTGGGAGACCTGAATGTCCCAACTGCACTTTGAACTGAATCCCCCCCCCCTCTTGTTCCCTCACAATTTCTTTTATTTGTTGTCTCTCTTTGCTTACTTTTAATCTGCATGTTGTCTTTCACGTGTATTTAAAAAGATGCTTTAAGATGAAAAAAATGATGAACCACTTTGTTTTATTTCTCATGTTTTTTTGTTTGTTTTTTTTGTTTTTTGTGCCAGTGTCATAAAATGCCCCATTTTTGGTCAGTGAATTTTTCTTTTATTAATGATTTATCCTTGTGTTTTTTTGGGGGGGGGGTTTGGTGAAGCATCAGTCTTCTTCTAAAGCCTTACTTCCCCCGACGGCGTTCAGGTTTCCACAGCGGCTGACTGACCTCTCTTCCTTGTTTTATCAAGGCTCGCCTTCTTTTTTTTCTGCTGTTGAGGACGATGATGTAATTGGTGTGTGTGTGTGTGTGTGTGTGTGTGTGTGTGCGTGCGTGCGCATGTTGTTTCCAGACCTGGAACTAGTACCATTTAAAACCCTGTTAAACACCTTCAAGTGAGATTGATTTTATTTTTGCTAGCACAACAGCTCCCTCATCATCCTTTAACCCAAAAGGCAATCCAGGCAGGCAGAAGCAATCAGTCGGTAATGAAGTCTTTGATGGGATTTTGAATGCTATTCGCTCCCAGATCTGTGTTGTATATTGTATATGATACACACTTTTGGACTCATGTAAATTTGCATTAATTGCTGACTAACAGCGAAAGAATATTCTATTTAATTCCTTCTCTCTTGGCTGTGGGAACCCTAGATGTTTAACTGCATGGATGTACTGTATCTCTGCAGATTCAACTAGCAGCTGTGTGATTTTTACACAAAAATAAAAAAACGGCACAATATTTTAAAAACTGCTCTCTTTACTCACTAATTTATCTGGAAATGGTTAAAAGAAAATGCACCCAGTCACCAAACAAGTCGTCTCAAACTCTTTATGACCATGCTGGTGGACTTCCCCAGTTAGCCAGCAGGGATGTACATCTGACAATTCTGTCGAGAGTATGTGACGAAATCATGTCTATGTGGAGTAAGACGCTAATTTACTTGAAATTTATCACCCCATGGTTTAATGGTGTTGGGAAGAAAATGGGTTCCATAGTGTAGCCGTTTTTATATATTTGCCTAACAAGAAATTTTGATTTTGGTCAGCGTCACTTGTTTTAAACTTCCGACGATAAAGTATGATCACAGCAAGACTGTAAGATGGATGATTATCTAACAGGGTTATGGAGAGTGCAGCCCATCCCAGCTGTCACAGAGGGAGAGGAGGGGTACACCAAACCTATCGCAGAAACCATTCACACTCTTACATCCACAGGAACACAATGCTAAGCACTGAAGCATTACGCCACCCCAGTTACTCCAAAAAAATATAAAAGCAGACTTTTTGTTAATTATCTGGTTTAGTTCAACTTTGACCTTTTGAGGTAGTTTGTTGTAGTCTGTCCACCGGAGCCGTTGATCAATTTCTTATAAGTAAAACACAAACTCAGAATAAGAGTAGACAGGGAAGTGGAATAGGTTAGAGCAGGTTTTATTCAGTTTCTACATATTGCTTCATTTCTAGGTTGTTTTACTGAGCGGCTCAAAGCAATCCTGAACTTCCCAGCTTTGGTCGACGATTTTAATTAAAGCCAATAAATCGCATTCATCAACTCTATACAGGAAGTATCTGAGCTCTGCAAAAGTAATGATCAAGCCATTAAAGTTACTTCAGTGCTCCAGTTTTCTTCAAATCTTTGCAACCATTCAAAACTTGGTACAATCTTTAATGGAAAAACAATCTTTTTAATCACGTGTGACTGCGGCTGAATGCA